AAGGACCTCAAAACTTTGCTGAGATTTGCGAAGGTGCGAGTCTTAAATGGGGCCCCGCCCACGAGCAAGGCCTGTGATGGTGATCCCGACGGCGTGGGGTTCAAGATGTGGGAGCCGGTGCTGTATGCTGCTGGGCCGACGCCCTTTGAAGCTTTACGGGTCGTGGCATTGATTCTCCAAGAAAAGGTCAAAGACGGCCACTTGTCCCAAATGCCGCCGCTCATGCAGGTGAGATGGGCCAGGGGTAAGACGCCGCAGGAACCTTTGCCAACACCGTGGACGGAAGAAGAGGGTGGAAAACTGGATTGGCTGAGGCCCTTTGAGTTGCTGCCGCCCACTGGCAGGCGCCATGTGCTGGCCTCCTTGCGGCGCCAGTCGGCAAACCCCACGTTCTACAACCTCCACTTCTTCGGCGGCCTTGAGCATTTCCGAGCGGCCTTCAAAGAAGCAGGCATTTTCCCGCGGCCTTTGCACGGCTACCTCCGTGGGATTCAGCCGGATTTTGTATACGTTCTTCAGAGCCTGCAATGCATGGCCGAAGACAAGGCTTTGGTGGACAAAGTATTGACCAACGTCTTACGAGGCATTCCAGTCTTGTTTAGCAACGAGGTCGAAGACCCTGATGACGAATTCTCAGGCTGGTTGTTGAAGCAACCGACAATTCGTTTAAACAAGGAGCCCCAACACTATCGCTTCCACGGCGATGATTGAGCTTCGCCTGCGCCTTTGCGCGCGCAGTGTAGACAATTGAGTTTTCAGAACGCCCGCGAACTCGGGACAGAGCAGGGCTTATTGGGCACATTGATGTTGCGTGGGCATTGTGTTTGAACAGACAATGCCCGCTGCATGTAGACAGACAACAAGAAGCACAAGCGAAAAAAGAAGCCGGTCTGGCAGTCGTCAAGTTGAACCGGCTGTGTTGGTTTTTGATCCGTGGCATTTTCTCAGTCATTTTGCATTTTCGATTTCGCGTGCCGCGCTGGGTGACGAAGCAACTCGCATTGCATGCCCATGATTTTCATTACGTGGCTCCAGGTTCGCAGCTGTTTCAGCCCGCCGCGTGCAAGTTCTAGTCATGGCCAAAAAGTGGACGTGCAACATGACAATGAATTGCAACCACGCAGAATCCACCAATTAGATAGGACATTTACAGCGTTCCAACAGATAGGTTGACGTCTAGATTAAGCCGTCCCTCCTTGCCATGCCGCAGCGCTGCATCGGCTTCGCCGACCCATCCGGCGGACAAGCTCGGCCTTGCATTTTCGCACGGGATGGCCTCGGACACCCAGCCCGTGTACTTCGCGGTCGTGACGGCGATCGTTGTGTCTTCTGCTGCCCCGCGGCGCTGGAACGAGCCCTGCTCAACCGCGTTGCAAAGGGACATCTGATGAAACGGTTGAAGACTTGGTGCAACCGGGGCTTTCCGGTCTATGCTGCTGCCTTCTCTTTTGGTGCTTTGGGGGCCCTGCCCGAGGATACGCAATGCACATTGCGCTGGAAAGCGGGGGAGAAGCCGCGCCTCAACCTCAGAACCAGCTGGTTGCACAAAAATAGGCAACGGCTGGTGAGGCTTTTGTTCGGCCGCCCCATCCCGAAGGCCAAGCCAATGAGCCGGGACGTCGAGCGGTTTGGCTGGCTGTGCGAAGACTTCAAAGGACGTCCGGCCGCGCACTATGCATGGGTTCAGGCGGTGCGCCTCGAAGTCCGTGTTCTTTGCAGGGCCCGGCGAAAGGAGACAGAAGCGGCCAAGGAGCAGCGCGTAAAGCAATGCATACAGGTCCGTGGCGGCTGGAGGGGTTGGGGGGCGGTGGAAGCGCGGAAAAGAAGACGAGATTGGCGGCGCTGTAGCCGGGTGCTTAGAGTGAAGTTGTCGCCCCGTTTGGCCCAGGGACCCCCGTATCGTTTTGAGCGAGCCTTTAGAAGCAAGGCGCGCGTAATTTGAGCAAGGATACGCAAATCAATCATTAGAAGGGCGCGCGAAAAAGAGGCGAGCCAATCTATTGTCAAATAAGCTCATTTCAAAACGCAATTATGATGAAACATTTTCAGGGCGATATTCCTTATCCTTGTCCTTTTCCTTTTCCCTGTCCTATTCCTTTTCCTTGTCCTTTTCCTTGTCCTTTACCCTTTCCTTTCCTTTTACTTTTTCCTTTTCCTTTCCTTTTCCTTGTCCTTTTCCTTTTCCCTTTCCTTTTCCTTTCCTTTTCCTTTTCCTTGTCCTTTTCCTTGTCCTTTTCCTTCTTGTCCTTTTCCTTTTCCTTTTCCTTGTCCTTGTCCTTTTGCCTTTCCCTTTCCCTTTTCCTTTCCTTTCCTTTCCTTTTCCTTTTCATGTCCTTGTCCTTTTCCTTTCCCTTGTCCTTTTCCTTTTGTCTTTCCCTGTCCCTTTCCCTTTTCCTTTTCTTTTCCTTTTCCTTGTCTTTTCCCTTTCCTTTTCGTTTTCCTTTTCATTTTCCTTGTCCTTATCCTTTTCTTTTTACCTGTTCCGTTCCTTTTCCTTGTCCTTTTCCTTATCCTTTTCCTTTCCTTTTCCGTTTTCTTTTCCCTTTTTTTCCTTTCCTTTTCCTTGTCCGTTTCCTTTTGCCTGTCCCTTTCCTTTTCATTTTCCTTATCCTTTGCCTTTTCCTTTCCTTTTCCTTTTCTTTTTCCTTTCCTTTTCATGTTTTATGTAAAAAGGCAAAAACGTTTTGAACGGGCACCTGGTGAGGTTATTGTCTACAAAAAAGCAAAAAACGTTTCAAAAGGGCACCTGGTGAGGTTATTGTCTATAAAAAGGCAAAAAACGTTTTAAAAGGGTACCTGGTGAGGCTGAGGCTTAGGGTGAGTCCCCTATATAATTGACGGTCTGCCTAGGACGCTACTTCGTGTCGAACCCTAAACCCTAAACTTTAGGGCTTGCGCCACTGTGCGCCACGAAGTGGCTTGTTTTGGGGCACCAGACTTGTTTTAAGAGTTCTTAGGGTTAATGAGGGTTTAAGGTGTTATCCTTCCTGCCTCCCTGGTGTCTCCGTGGTGCCTCCTAGGCTGTCCAAATGGTCATTTCCTGCCTCCTGGTGCCTCCCTGGACGGCCTAGTCTTTTCCTGCCTCCCTGGTGCCTCGCAGGCTGTCCAAATGGTCCTTTCCTGCCTCGCTGGTGCCTTCCCGGTGCCTCCCTGGGTGTCCAGGCTGTCCAATTAGACCTTTCCTGTTTCCCTTGTGCTTCCCTGGTGCCTTCTAGGCCGTCCAAATGGTCCGTTTCCTTTTACCTGTCCCTTTCCTTTTCATTTTCCTTATCCTTTGCCTTTTCCTTTCCTTTTCCTTTTCTTTTTCCTTTCCTTTTCATGTTTTATGTTAAAAAGGCAAAAATGTTTTGAACGGGCACCTGGTGAGGTTATTGTCTACAAAAAAGCAAAAACGTTTCAAAAGGGCACCTGATGAGGTTATTGTCTTCAAAAAGTCAAAAAACGTTTCAAAAGGGCACCTGGTGAGGCTGAGGCTTAGGGTGAGCCCCCTATATAACTGACGGTCTGCCCATCACGCCACTTCGTGTCGAACCCTAAACCCTAAATTCCCACCCAGGCCTGCTTAGGCCGTTCCCACCCACTTCTGGGTGGCCAGACACTGAAGATACCCGACAGCCATATACACCAGCTCATGGTAGAACAATGGGTGGTGCCATTGGAGAATGGTCGAATAGGGCAGGAAAGGTCCAATTGGACAACCTGCGAGGCACCAGGGAGGCAGGAAAGGACCAATTGGACAGCCTGGGGAGGCACGAAAGGACTAATTGGACAACCTGGGATGCACCTGGCAGGAAAGAACCATTTGCACCGCCTGGGAGGCACCAGGGAAACAAAAAAGGACCAATTGGACAACCTGGGAGGCAGGAAAGGACCAATTGCACAACCAGGGAGACACTAGGGAAGCAGGAAAGGACTAATTAAACAGCCTAGGAGGCACCAGGGAGGCAGGAAAGGATGGAGGTACGACTAATTGGACAGCCTGCGAGGCACCAGGGAGGCAGGAAAGCAGTATTTAGACAGCCTGTGGGGCACCAGGGAGGCACCAGGGGCTGTTAAAGGCAATCCGGCACAGCGATAGCTGTCCTGAGGCAAAGCTAAGCCTTAGAAAAGGACCATTTGGATAACTTGGGAGGCACCAGGGCCTTTAAAGGCAATCCTACGCTACGAGGCCCGCGCAGGGCTTGAGCCCCTAGGGTTTGGGGTACCATCCTGCTGGAGCATCCCTGGTACCGGGGGCAAGAGCAAGGAGGAGTCTTCCTTGTCGAGCTCCGGTTCACACCGCCATGCGTCATAGAAGCAAAGTTTGTGCAATGCCTCAAAGTGATAGAATCTCGCCCTTTGTTGGCTGCATCACTTTGGCGCGGTGGATGGCGGACAGTGCTGCCTACCGTGAATCTCGAGCCTCCTGCTTTGTTGACCGAATGTAGCAGGCGCCAGGCTCGCTGCTGATGTGACTTTGCCCGTATTAATCGGTCCGAACCGATGCGAACTCATCTACAACCATGAAAAGCAGCCACTTCTCGAGCTGTCCCTCCGGATCTGTCTCCCCGCAAGAGAGCTCCTTTGCATGCTCAGTCAACTTGCCCCGCCTGCGAAAAGTCAGGCAAGCAAGATGCAACGCCCAGTAGCCAAAGGCCCGCCCGGTGGCGCAAAGCGTGAGGACCAGGGCATCCCCCAGATTGGGCAGCCGCCTGCAAAACAAATCTATCTGCCTCAGGGCAGCAGTTCATCTGACTGGCAACCCCCGTATGACCCTGGAACTGAACCTACAGCCAAACTGGGAGTCTTACCCAATTGCCGCTGGGGAGTGGCAGGAGGAATGGGCACCTAGCAACCCCTAGGTGGAAGAGCAGGCACAGCTCCTATGGGCACTGTCTGACCAATCCGTGCCGAGGCTCAGCCCAAGCTGTCCGTCCCAGTCAAAAAGCGGATAGATAGAGAAGTGCGGTTTGCGTCCTAGTAGCGATGCCAGGAGCCCCTAGAAGCGTCCTAGCTCCTAGGAGTAAGGCCAGGAGCCCCTAGTAGCGTCCTTGCTTTTTGTAGCGATGCCAGGAGCCCCTAGTAGCGTCCTAGCTCTTAGGAGTAAGGCCAGGAGCCCCTAGTAGCGTCCTTGCTCCTAGTAGCGATGCCAGGAGCCCCTAGTAGCGTCCTAGCTTTGGCTAAAGATCCATCTTTCTCTTTCCTCCCCACAGCCGTCATGGTCTTTCCAAACCTTGTCCCATTCCAGT